TGAGTGGCTTTACTAGCCATTGTGAGACCTCTCTCTCTTCCCCCATGCAGCTGCCACTGGCTGACACAGTAGAGATCACGTGAGCAGAAGGGGAGGGGCGAGGGGACAGCTTTAAGGTTAGATAGATGTAAACTAGGATTCTACTGGAATGTAAAATAGATGTATGTTGGAATTAACTAAAAAAGATACGAGCACTAGTTATTCAGTGATGCCAGTCAGTGCTGCCATCAGTGCCACCTAATTAGTGCCCATCAGTGCTGGCTATCAGTGCCCATCAGTGCTGCCTATCAGTGCCTATCAGTGCAGCCTCATAAACGCACATCAGTGAAGGAGAAAATTTACCTGTTTGCAACATTTTATAATAGGAACAAAGAAAAACTTTTTTCTTTTTTTAGCTCTTTTTTCGTTTATAGTGCAAAAAATAAAAAAAAACCCAGTGGCAGTTAAATGCCACCAAAAGAAAGCTCTATTTGTGTGAAAAAATTATAACAATTTCATATGGGTACAGTGTTGCATGACTGCACAATTGTCATTCAAAATGCGACAGAGCTGAAAGCTGAAAATTGTCCTGGGCAGGAAGGGGGTAAAAGTGCCCAGGAGGCAAGTGGCTAATAAGTAAAAAAAAGGAAATTATCCCTAACATATGAAGGTACTCTTTTGCTGTTTTGGTCAATTTATCTGAGTTGTACATGTGTAGTTTGGTGGAATTTTGTGTTGTGTAAATGTTGCCACATGCACATGTGCAGCTGCTGTGTACATAAGGGCGTATCAGGCCCCAATATAAATGGTGCTGTTTATTATATAATCCATCATACTCTTATTTCCAAATGGGGCATGTGTTTGCTAATTTTATCCAAAATTTGCAAATAAAGGCCCAAATAAAACAAAACTTTTTTTATGTATCATGTTAAAATTTGTCACCAGAATCCTGACAATTTAGGCATGATGGAAAATGTGTACCTCGGCCTCAGCAGCGCCCAACAAAGCTGCCTTTATGTATCTAAGTAGAGTGTATTGAAATACACAAGTAACCTGCTGTCACTGTCTTTACAGCAGTATACGATATTCCTGTTTCGCAAAGTGACTTTAAAACTGCTGAATAACACGCTCTCTGCTACTTGCCAATTAACATTATCTATTTTGGAGTATTGATTTTGTAATTAACATAAGCTATATATTCTTGCAAGCACAAAAACTGAGAACAAAGCATAAAACTGAAGTGATCCATTGCATATGATCTGAAGTATTTTCTTGGTCAATACTTGATACTTTGAGTACTGCAAAGCATTCCACTTACTTTGTGAATTGCACATTAGAGCTGGAGGAGAAAGTACAGCCTATTAATATTGTATAGTGGAATCACACAGTTCAAAACAACATTCCTCCAGCAGCTTAACTATGTGTGCCCATGTACAGGGCTCCTTGTATATCACCACCTGAGGTCTGCTAAATCTGCTTCACATGGCTTATATCTCAGGGTAAAGACTATCATTATTTCTGGAATAGCAGTTTCAATATGTGGGTTATTTACTATTGGCAGGCCTGGCTTTACAGGGAAAGTGGGGCTATTTGCAATTGCTAACGTCAAATAGTTGTTCCCCTGTATGGACATACAAACCTCAGAGGAAATTATATTTATTGCTGCTGCATTAAGGCATTTAATTGACAAACAATCAAAGGTGATGTATATTAGGTTGCTTAGCACTTAGAAGTATGTTAGTATATAGGAGAATAAATGCTCACAGTGGATCAGACGATTTTGAACTAGATATTGTGCAATCAATACCACCATGAATCAGGGGCAGACTGACAACTCATGGGGCCCCCCGGGCAATAGGGGATCATGGGGCCCCTGTGTCCTTGCCCAAACTCAAAAAAGCCTATGAAAAAGGTACCAGGGGCATCTCATGGGGCCCCCTACTGACCCCGGGCCCTCGGGCAGTGCCTGAGTTTCCAAATGGTCAGTCTGCCCCTGCCATAAATTGTGCCATGTTACTACTTCATGTGCATTTGTTACCACTTTTAACTTTGTGACTTATGGAACAGCTAGGGTATGGAGACAGACCCTCTAAACTTTTCTGGAAAGGTGTCCTTTTTTTAATAATTCGCAGACCGGAAAATCTTGGTTCATCTCAACTATTCAGGACATAATAGTTACACCTTTGAATTATGGAGGATGCCCTCCAGCCTTAGCCAAGACAAGCACCATAACCCCCCCCCCCCCCCCCCCATAAAACCACGTTTGATGATTTATTGATTAATGAGGTTGTTGGAGTGATTTGATGAACGGGACAAAGTGGCTTATCTCAACTACTCAAGGTCTAACAGTTAAACCTTTGGATTATGGAGGATGCCCTCCAGCCTTGGCCAGGACAAGCCTCCTAAAGAAAACCTATATAACCCTGTTTTGGTGATTTGTTGTCTGTTGGGGTTGTTGGAGCAATTTGATCATTTGGATGATATAGTTTATCTCAACTACTCAGTTCATAACAGTTAAACCTTTGGATTATGGAGGATGTCCTCCAGGCTTAGCTAGGACAAGCACCCAAAAAAACCCCCACATAAAACCATTTATGGTGATTTGTTGAATTATTGGGGTTGTTGGAGTGAATTGATCGACAGGACAATATGGCTTATCTGAACTACTCAAGGCATAACAGTTAAACCTTTGGATTATGGAGCGTGCCCTCCAGTTTTAGACAGAATAAGCAACCGAGAAAAATAATAAAACCACATTTTGGTGATTTGTTGATTGATGGGATTGTCATGGTTTATCTCAACTATTTAAGGCATAAGAGCTAAACCTTTGGACTATGGAGGATGCCCTCTAGCCTTAGCCAGAACAAGAACCCTAAAAAAAAAAACCCATAGAACCACATTTTGGTGATTTGTTGATTGGGTTGCTGGAATGATTTGCTGTCAAAATTAATTGAATGTTTGAATAGATTGCGTTTTTAGCCTGACTGTATAATAGTATATTTGGTAAAAGTTACAAAAGTCTACTACAGAATGGAATCAGCTCCTCTGTGGCCCAGTCTCAGCGAAAATTAAATATGGTGCATTTTACAAAGCTGAAATTTATAGCAGGGCAGCTATTTTGAAATTGTTTGTATACAATGTTAAAGTATAAAGACACATACAGTAGCTTGGTGTAAGGAGTAGAAGATGAGTTTTCTTGATCTGTGTCACCTACATTAAAACAGGTTTACTTTTGGAGAAAGCCAAACAGTGCGAAACCCATAACTCCTGTTGCCAGTTGTAAAACATGTTGGGCATCAGGCATTGAAATCATTAGGCTTGGTACATGCTTTTCAAACTTTTTAATGGTCAAGGATACAATGCCATTTTATATGAGCAGGTGCATTTGTTGTGCATTCAAAATTCCCTTATGATAGTCTTCATGATAATGCTACCATAAAAAAACCATCAACTGCAGGAATAACAACTGAGTACTTTTTTATTTTCACTAACATTTACATTTTCAGGACAAGCTTTCAGTTTGTTTTCTTCTTCTTGGTCCAAGTACTGCTTGGAAGGAGAGAATCCCCTGAAAGTTTGTCTTGAAAATGTAAATCTTAGTGTAAAACAAATATATCACAGTACTCAGTTGTTCATGTTAGAAGTGCACTAATATGGCTACAATTACCTCAACAAATTCAAGATATATTTCATGAGTACCTGAATAAGGTCTAATGTTTCCCATGCCCTTCTCAATCATAAAAAAACAAATTCCTTCATAGCCCTGTACCAGTTACTTAATCTTGCTGGACCTGTTGGGGTCCAGCTATTGTGAATATGTTTTATTAATAAACACAACTCAGTTGGGGTCCTTGTCCTTGTTGTATTTTCTAATTGTTTTCTGGTGTTCATTTGTAGGCATAATTTCTTTAAACAATATTATGGAATAAAAGCATAATCCTGCTTCTGCTTTATCCGTTCTATAGATATATGTCCTTTCTGAACTTCTCCTGCTGCTCCTGAATATTATCCCACCAATAATCAGATCACCCTTTATGGAGGGGGGGGGGGCTGTTTTGAGGAGAGAAAGCAAAGTTCTGTTCCTCTTCCACGATGACTCTTTCCACATAGAGGCACAGGGGTTGATTTACTAAAGACAAACAGTCTGTTCACTTTGCAAATTAAGTTGCGCTTTGCAAGGGAATTCCCCCCAAAGTTTGGTGAATGTGGGGAGGTTTCACTTCGCAAAGAATACTCAATCACATGCAAGGGAAATAAAAACAGAGCATTTTTGTTTGTACAGGATTGGATAAGAACGTCAGCAGAACTTCTCATTCACAAAGCTCTTAGGTAATTTCCATTGCAAAGTGCCTTATTTGTCTTTAGTAGATCAATCCAACAGTGTGGAACAAGGCATGGTGAGCTGCTGGGAGGCAACAGGAAATATTGTGACTAGTCCTTGTCCTTACATTTTTTTTTCTTTTGGAAAGCTTCCATAGTTCAGGTCTGCTTTAACCTTCCTAGAGGTCTGATTATGTCCATATTTCTGTGCTCAAAGTGGTACATTTTTATGCATGGAAATATGTATTTTTTTTATTGTAGGCGTGTAATTTTTAGGAATAATTAACTGAAATCTGTCCGAACAAGAGTCTAGTAAACATCCCGGGTATGTTACAATTTGAAACACGAAATCATAAATTATAATTTATTAAATAATCATAAAAAATAATAATATAATAATACATTTAATTCAATAATATAATCAAACCAAAAACACTGCAATTTGAAATATAGCGCCAAGTTCGCACATCACTGAGCAAAGTTGCAAAATCGTTTTCAGTGTCTGATGACGAATTTCTCCATGAATCATTATCACTCAATTCTGCAAGTGGTTCTAATTTACTATCGCTGTTCTCTAGCCGGTCTAAAACCGCTTTTGACCTAAAGGGATGCTTTTTGGACGCCATGGACGTTTCTCAGTTTCCAGGCAGAAAGAACAGTAAAAATGCAGGCAGGGCACAGGACAAAGCACTAGGGACAAAATGTATGTGAAATGGTTTGATACAGTAATGTTTTACTATGTGATTTTAGTGTATTTAGTGAATGTCACTTTTTGTCATTTTCAAATTTCCCGCCAGTTCCGTCCCCATACGTCCCGACGTCACAGGGGACGGAACCCAGATGACAGATGCCAGCATCCGCCGGAGGACATTGCCGGGGACACTGCAGGAGGGACATCGCGGGAACAAAGGACAAGGTAAAACAAGAACAGATCCCGGAGCAGCGCCGCATGGTAAGCCCGAGTGTAGCTCGGGGTTAGCGCTTTTGGTACTGAAACTTTACCCCGAGCTACACTCGGGAATACCGCCAGGGAGGTTACAATGAAACTGCACTGCATCTGAGCACCACAAATCAAATATGGTATTTAACTCATTTTTAATGTTCAAAGCAAACTCTCCAAATCATTCATACCTCCAAGCTTTATTTTTCTAAGAAAACATTTTGAAAAACATTCCCCTCGCATTTCTTGCCATGGCCATCTTTATTAAGGGCAGATGATTCATGTAGCATTTACTTACTGGAATCCATCTACCCTTAGCTCAGACATGCAGGCAGGAGGGTGTGCTTAGCACAGAAAATCCCTCCCTCCTGAAGACTCCTGGGATGTATGACATTGTTTGCCTATGTCAGAAACCAGGAAATAACTGAATAAATGTAAAAAAAAGTTTAAAACAAGTACATTTATTATATCTTCCTATCTGTTTACTAATGCTAGGAGCATGAGGATTAAAAATAATCAATGCTGATTGGGAGAGTGAAGTTCCTCTTTAAGGAGGCAAACAGACAGGAGGGTCTGCTTAGTAGAGAAAAACCCTCCCTCCCTCCTGAAGACTCCTGGGATGTATGACATTTAAAGAGGAAAACCCGATTATATTGTATACCTGACTTTTCTTCCATTCAGTATGCCTCTTTCACAGACCAAAGGCAAAATACCACAGCCTGCAATACATACATTTCAAAAATTCTGGTAACATACTATTTTAGGGAAAAATGAAAAACTGCATCAGAACTGTAAATACAGAATCTCAGCCCTTCACAGGACATGCACCCAACAGCAGAACAATTACTGTCTAAAAGCTGATGCTACATGCTGGCCACCCCTCTTATAATAAGAACACATCTCCTGCTATTATTAACATTGAATGAGACACTGCATACATGATGTTAACCAGGCTGATACGTTTTACAGACATGATGCAATGCCATTATCTCATCCTGATATTTGTACCAGCAGAAGGTACACAAGATCATGAGTATTTCCCAGAGGCTTGTGCTTAGATGGAAAAATTGGAAGTATAGCCTCCAGGCAGAAATAAAGCATTCCACTATTCGTGGGAGATGACTCATTCATTTGTTTTCAAAGCTTATCATTTGCTCATGTCATCATGATCAATCAGGCACTTTCACTGGAAGAGTTGGACCTTGAGAGACTAGAAATGGCAAGTGAGAGGTAAGAGCACAGGTTTACTGGCAGCATAGACACCAGACCTAAGAACACTAGGCAGCTGCCAGATAGACCTTTGACCACTGATTAGCAGAAGCAGAATTCTGTGCAGTTATGATATGCTAATGTGCATGAAAGCGGTATTAAACTCAAAAGGAAACATTTACGATATTGCAGCTTATGTATTCTTATACAGTATGTGGTGGATGAATGTTTCCTTTCTTAGTCTTTTTTTCCTTTATTTTCACCTGGTGTTCCAGTCAGTGACTCTGTTGCTTTTCAACAGAACAAGCTATCCTACAGATGTAGCAGTTAGAGGGTTGTGACAAACCATTTAAAGTGTAACTAAAGGCAAAACTGTTTTTTTTTTTAGTTTAGTATAGCGTGATAAGGGATTAGAATACCTGTCAGTTTTTATTGCTGTCTCTGGAAGATTCATCCTTTCTATTTTTCCTATTTACCGGTATCATCGAAAGTGACAGTAAGAAAAATCCCAAATTGTGGTTGACATCAAAACCAGGAATAGAGGGTACATTTTCCAATGGGGACACTAGTTCTGGTGACACCCCATGATTCCCTCAGCTTGGAGGAATTTTTTCTTGCTTCCTGTTTTTGGCTATGGGACAGAAAGCAAAGGGAAATCTCCCCTGTGGAACATATTGTAGATAGTGAAAAAAAAAAACATCACGTGCAAAAGTTGAAACATATCTGATCCTTGCTTAACGGTTCTTCGATATCATCTAGCAGTATAAATCACTATACTAAGTTCTCAATGTAATTGTATTAAAACAGCTTTGAATGTGTTCTCTAGCAGTCAGCCTATACAAAGTTGGGCTCCCAAACATTACATGGGACAATATTGCCACCTTAGTAAGATCAGCTTTAGCCTGACTCTTGATAAATTAAAAAGTAGATCATCCTTCTTTAGAGATGCTATAAAGGCCAGAAATACTTTCTGGAAATATCAAGAACAAAAATGGAAGAATTCATATTATTTACCTATTTGAGGGAACCCAAGTTTCAGGCCAGGAATAATGTATAAAACATTTGGGGTGCACTCACACATGGCATGGTTGAACTGAACACTCCCATGCTAGTCTGCACTCACACATGGCATGGTTGAACTGAACACTTCCATGCTAGTCTGCACTCACACATGGCATGGTTGAACTGAACACTCCCATGCTAGTCTGCACTCACACATGGCATGGTTGAACTGAACACTCCCATGCTAGTCTGCACTCACACATGGCATGGTTGAACTGAACACTCCCATGCTAGTCTGCACTCACACATGGCATGGTTGAACTGAACACTCCCATGCTAGTCTGCACTCACACATGGCATGGTTGAACTGAACACTCCCATGCTAGTCTGCACTCACACATGGCATGGTTGAACTGAACACTCCCATGCTAGTCTGCACCGGTTGAACTGAACACTCCCATGCTAGTCTGCACTCACACTTTGCTATAAGCAAGTGTTCCCGGGACACATCATCTTCTATGCCAACCAGAGTACAGTGATCCCTGCTTCTGTGCTTATCTATGGAGAGTTCTGTGACTTTCTACTGAAGTGAACTATTCTGGACCACAAATGAAGTGACTCTTTCTTTTCTTGATTTTTCCAAGGGACATTCGGAGCAATCACACTGCATAAACAAGACCAAGAGGGTGAACTGTGCCCATGCTCGGTTAAAAATGCCAGTGTGACTGCATCCTTGCTGAGTAGGTTAGATGTGGTTATAACCAGGACTGCTGTTAGAAATTTCGGGGCCTCCTACAGCCTACATGATAGTAACCCCCCCCCCCCCCAAAAAAAATATAAAAAAACTATATTTTCACTACAAAATTACAGGAAAATCATTATTAGCGGACACAAACATGACATAACTTCCTGTCATAAAATTCCTGCTAAATATAAAAGATAAAATTGCCATTAGTTAATAAATGTTGTTCTGTGGGCAAATGAGGTATTGGGGTTCATTCACTTAGGTGCTGTGTCCTATACAGTGTGAATCAGTGTTTTTATTTGTTTTAATGTAGCTACTGCTGTGTGCATTCAGCTTAAGTTATGGTATAGGGATAAAAACAGCCACAGGATTATGTTACTCCCCCTATTGGCTGCCCTGGTTTTACCTCACTCCTGATGTTCCTAGATGAAAGAGGCAACGTTCTCTCATTTATGGTACTTACTAAAAACCTTGCCGTAACAAATTTTTTTTTTATATTTTTCTTGTAGACAAATAATAGACTATATGGATATGATTAAAACAGAATGTTTGAATATCCAGGGAAATATATCCGGGGGGATATGATCTCCATGTATAATACATAAGGGGGGGATATGATCACCATGTATAATACATAAGTCTTGTTTTGTAAAATATTCCAGTTAATGTTGGATTACTGAAAAACTACGTATATGATGTAATAATTAACCTTAACCATCAAAATGTAAAGGATTTGAGGAGGACTTCTTTCCCCGAGGAGAGAAATGTAGCTGGAATTAACAGAGGAGGGCCATAAAAAGGTTTGTAAAGCAAATGTGAGAACTGATCTTTATTTCTATAGCTAGATACTCTAAATCTAGTAATTGTCTCTACTTGAAGTGTGAAGCCCATATACCAAACTTAAAACACACGCTATTTACCTATAGAAAAGTTAAGAGACTCTAGAAAAGAATTGTAAGTTAGCGAAGTGGAGAAATGTGTATATTTACCATTTAAAACAATTGTGTTCCTAATTAGTACCCAGGATGAGAATTTATTCATTTGAGAATGTTGATCACATTAAAAGAACTGGGTTGATGAAACAGTACCCTGAATAAGTAATATCAGATTTCTCAATTTTTTGGGTGGTAAGCCCCTGAAAACAAAAAGTGGTTTTGAAGGTCCATTGACTAAACATAGAGATACATTTTCAGTGTTCCAGTTTTTGTATTTGAGTATTGTAACCACCTTAAATTGTGTAAATTTTCTGTTTTACTTGTCTTGATTATGTAGAGTTGATTTACATAAATAATTTAAAAAAGACAGCCACTGCAATAAACATTCAGGTGGAATCATGCATTCATGGTACACCAATACATTTTACTTATTGCATGGAGTTAACCTTTATCCTGGGACCTCTACCCTGTATACCCGTGAACAGGGCCCATTAAAAATCTCACACTAAAAATTGTGGAGGCACATAACTGATATTCTTGTGCAATGTCAGGTCATCCTACAGCACTCGGTCCATCATCATCTGTGGCCTGCCGAATACAAGGCGTGTTCTTCATCTTTTTAAGTTTTAAGCTTTCTGTGGACAGATACAGTATCTCTGGGTCTCCTTATCCAACTTTTGTGGAATGACCGTTGCCATATGTAGGGACTGCTATTTTAGCATAGTTTGGAGATCCACATTTTGCGTTTTTCTCTCTAGTAATTCTTTGAATGATAAATGGAATGGTATGCTAATTAGAACCTTTTACTTCCCAACCTTCGAAGTGCAGTAGACACAGAATCACTTGAGCTTGCTAAAAGCTTCTGAAAGAAAAGTATAGGAAATGGAGTTAAGCCATTAAATGTGACGCACATAAAGAACGCAAAGGAGATAGCCAAGCGCATTCAGTAATAAAATGGAGGAAAAGGACATACAGAGCAGCCTGCAAAAATGAAGCTTATGAGACCATTATGGAAATTACAGTACAAAATGTACAGAAATGTATTTCCTGTAAACAGCAATAAAAGTTTCCTCTGACCTTTTTAAAGACAGCTGAGTAAATCATTAAAAGCATTTGCATTTCTTAATTGAAAAAGCATCGCAACTCAAAAATGATTGTTGAGCCATGACACAACAACCCTTCCCTGCACCTCCCCTACTAAACTGCA